CCCCCCCCCCCCCTTTCTTCCTTCGAGCCGCTCCACTGCACCTCTGCAATCCATCCCCCTTGTTCCCCTCCAATTGCGCTAAGGGCATACTCACTCTAGGACTTCTTCACGTGAGGTAACAGTAGTCAAATACATCTCCAGCTGGGCATAGCTGGGGCCATCCAGAAACATCCCCCTTTTTTTTGTTTTACCTTTTCTTAAAGAAACATGCTAACATAAGTATGGCCTATTCTTGTGGGCCAAATTACATCCGCCGAAGGTTGGATTGCCAACCGTATCATCTGTGCTATCTTCTGAGGTCTTTTAGAGGGATGTTGAGGGGTCAAGTGTTTAGCGGTTTTTCTTTTGGCTTGAGGGGAAAAAAATTTAAAAAAATTGCTCTTTTTTGAGTGGTTTGAAGCCTTAGTTGAAATTCCCCGATTTTAAGATAGAGTAGTGTGTAATGTGTCATACTTAACGAGAAATCAACACAACATCTTCGGGACCCGATTCCTAGTGTGGAAACAAGAATAATAACTTTTTTTTTTTTTTTTAAACAAAACCCCCACCACTGTTAGTGGTGCTGATAAGAGCAGACACCACTAGCACCTGGGGAGCGGCTCCATCAACTGGTGGGGAGCATCACCTGCTGGAAAACGTGTCCAGTGTCCCATATACAGACAAAATTTGGAGTATATCAGGAAAATGATTGTGGGGGATTCCTGCCAGCATTGATCATCCCGTGATCCAGGGGATTGACTGAGCAGGATATTGGAAAGAGGGAAATCTCTTCACCTTGAAGCCGGTGCTAAATACGTGTTGTTACACACTAATTCCTCCCTTCCCCAGTCATTGATTACTCTAGAATCCAGAGTATTAACCGTGACTGAGCAGGATATCAGAAAATTAAACAATACTCTCATCCTACTTACAGGCAAACACAATTGACCATTTTTTAAGAACCTTCATACCAATGAGTCTTGACTATTGAGCTCGCTGGCAGCGGAAAAGGATCGAAAAATCTGAGAGAGGCTGCAATGGGATGGAGGAGTCAATTCTAGTCCAATCATGAAAATGGAGGTGGTTATCCTTTTCAAACTTTCCCTCCTTCCCTCCTTCCCCTTCTTCGCCTCCCTCCCCTCCTTTCCATCGCATATTCGCTATTCAACCCCCGTGTTCCTCTCCCAGCCAGTCATTACAGAAGGAGTGAATTTGCATTTTGATTTCCGTTCTTGAGTGTATAAAGACTATTTTTTCCTTGATTTTTTCTCGTTGAACCATGAGGTCTACCTGAATCTGGTGTTTGGTTGTCTCTATGACAGCCGGACCTTCAAGGCGAACTCTTTTCATCTCCCTAGTGCACCTTTTCCACCAAATTGCCCAAAAGATTGTTGTACGTCCCACAGTGAACATGTTCTTCTCAAAATTGCTCGCTTGTTCCGACTGCCAGGTTTCACACAAGATTGGTTTCCAGTTCCATGGCCAAGCGGTTGTTACGCCTAACAGGCGCCGCACTCAGTCCCACCATCACCATAACTAGACTGACCCAGGGCACTGCAGAAAGATGTGTTCAATTGTTTATATTCTCCGCCTGGTTGGGTGTGATGTCGCACATAATTTGTACCTGGGGAGAGGCAGACCCTTTTGTTCTAAAGATGTACGGTCAAACAACCAGTCATTTGTGGGTAGACAACGATGCTCCACTTGCCATTGTAAGGATGCAATCTCGACTGGTAATGACTTACTGAGCCTAAACCATTTGATGGGCCGCAGGGTGTTCCTTTCCAGATTTAGGTGTCTCATCCAATGCTCCGTTACCACATCTTTTAGATTCACCCTTGGACGCAGTAGGCGGTAGGCTCCCTCAACTATTATTGAATAGATTTGTTGTTTTCCTATCCTGCCTCTGTGTAGCTGGGTGGTCCAAACCCAAGAGGCCGGATCAAAGGCTAGATGTGCAATCGCGGTGTTGGGCAGTGTCGTCACCCTGTACGGGGATGACCCGTCCGTACTCCCGTACGAGCGTACGTACAGGCCCTCAACGCCCGTATGGCCCGTACGTATGGACTTCGGACCCTCCGTACACGATCTTCCGAAGGGGTGTTGAGGGGGTGGATGGGCTGGGGGGGGGTCGGATGTTGGGGGGTACACCCCCTCCATTAAAAAAAAAAGATTTTTTTTTTTCTGTCCCAGGTGTAAAAAAAAATAAAAAAAAGATTGATTGATTGTTTGATTGATTGGTCGATTGATTGATTGATTGTTTGATTGATTGATTTATTGATTGGTTAATTTTGATTGATTGATTGATTGATTGATTGATTGATTGAGTGAGTGAGTGATTGACCGTAAAAGAAAAAAACCAACAAAAAAGAAAAAAATAAGTTGATTGATTGATTGATTGATTGATATGCAGTGGGGGGTTCGCCTCCCCCCTACGAACACACACACACACACAAACGATCGCTGCCTTTTTTTTGGGGGG